AAGGAAAGGTACATGATCAAAACACATTCTTACTAATGGATCAGTCCTGTTGGACTCCACTTGTGGTGCTGAGTGGGTGTGAGCAGAAGTCACTGTGATGGTAATTGCTTGCTTTGCTAACACTTGGCTTTGAAGAAAAAGCTGGCAAAAGTAGTTGGACCCTAATACCAGCCCAGCACTAGTGACTGGCTGTGGCCTATTTCTCTATGATTTCTAAGTCACACTTCGTGTAGCTGCTCAAGATTTAAAGAGAAGTCAAGTCAATATAAAAGAGTAACCTAACAGCTTTATGCATAATTGTGTGCTTCCCCATAGTCATTGCAAGATGCTTTTATTATGAGAATTCTTTCGGTGAGACCCAGAGACTAAAGCTCCAGAGATTAGTCTCCTATAGTTGCTTTGTCCAGAAAAAAGTTACACCTTTTGTGAAAGAAACAGCTATCAAGTCAAACTGCCTCGAGTCCAGGCCCCAAACCAAGAGAACTGAAGTCTAGTCTTAAACTGTAACTTCCCCAAAAAAGTCTCTCAGAATCTTTTGAGCTAAATGCAACTCCTCTATTTCCCTCAAATATCAAACCACTCAAGTCAGATGATCCCAAGAATTAAGGTTATATATCCACAAATTTAACCCAACTGGCCTGCACCTGTGAATGAACACTGCTTCTCCAACAAAAAGGTACTAGCACTGATATAACCTTCATTCTTGGAACTGCCCATCATCTTGAGTGGTTAGTGATTCATTGTTACCTTTCCTAGAGCAATAAATTCTTCATTACAAATAGGTATTACTGCTCTATTTTATGCCTATTCTTTTTTCTTGCATTTGAGTTTTATACTTGCTACAGATTGTGGCAGGGAGACCTGCTATACAAGATGGTATTTTACATAGTTTCATAAAAGCACTAAAGCAAAAGGAGACTAAAAAATCCTAGAGACTTTAGGAGCACATCTGCATTATCTCAAAGCAAGCCAAAGAGCATCACCAAGGACTGCTCACTTGCTTTTGTTCAATGCAAGTCAAAGCATGGAAAGTAGGTAGCATAGGTAGTTCAGCACAGCCCTGGATGTGTGCCAAGATACATGGTAGAGAGCAGCTCTCTAGACACATTCTTGGGGCCATGATGAATCTGTTACTCTCCCTATTTTTGGAGCTTTGGCACATAATAAGTAGGGCTGAGTGGAGGAGCCATTTTTCTTGGCAATACTCCTAGGCTCACGATGGAGACAGTGGACAAGCCCTAAATTTCACCCCCAGAAAAGCCAAGGGCAACTGCCAACTGAGAGGTGGGTGTTTCCATACAGCAGCCAAATATCCCTTGGCTGTTTGAAAAGCAGCCTGACCAATACATACAACACTGTATAGTTGTACATGGCCAATACCATCATAGCACAGGAGCCTTGTCTGAACCAAGACTGCACATGCACATTTTTAAGCTTAAAGTGGCTGCAAGGTTAACCAGTGGCTATAATGACATCTCTTCTCCTTTACAAAGTATAGGTTTCCCTCGCTTTATGCTGCATGCATTCCTGAAAAATGGCGCATAACTCAAATTTGCATAAAGGGAACCCACTTCACAACGTAACAAATAGGGATATGTTCCAAGACCTCAACTATACTGGCCCCCCAGGCCCATTTCTACCACTTTTACAAGACAATTTTGGTACTCACCAACAGCACAAGGTGCTAGTGATGTTTAGTTGGTGTGGAGAGGGTGGTGATGGACAAGGGAAAGGGGTAAGATAAGCTAGCAGGATGCTTAGAAACCATAATGGGGATGGCAACTCTAGAAACACATGTTGCAGCGGAGCACAGATCCACCCAGGCGACTATATTTTGGTGCGCGTCACTCCCACAATGGACTGCACAAAGCAGCTGACTGCAGGCTTCTACCACACCGATTGCATAAGAGTGAATTTATCTCGCATATCACAAATTTTTGGTATGAAAAAGCTCATTGCATAAGAACGAATTTGCACATACAGAACCCACATAAATTGAGGGAAACCTGTAGTTAAGTCTGACATGCTATAAAACCATTATGGTCTGTCTACACCGCACAGTCCAGCTGGGCTCATTTCTTTTTGAGTCTGAAGATGAGACTTCCTAACAGATGCAACACTGGCAAAATCAATGAGACTCACAGATAAAGAGCATTTGGCATATTGCACTTCAAAGCCAGAACATACCTTGATTCTCATCATCATGGTCAGTATCTAGTTTCAATCTCTTGACGCTGTTTCCACCTTCTGAACTGTAAAAATGTAGAACTGTCTGGTTAGACAGCAGCATCCACTTTATTACCACACAATTATAAAGCCAGATTTGCCTTGAACTAAACTGAATACTAGTCTCACTGATTATCATCTGTGGTACTAACTTTGCTGTTAATTGGGGCCTGGCAGGGATTGCTGTATGGTCCTAGAATGGATTGCTGAAGATCATTCAGACTTCCAGCACATTGTCAACACTACACATCAGGGACTAGAAACTCGGATCTGTGAATCAAAGCTAGAATCAAAGCTTGGCAACACAGCACTGACTGTAAGGCTTCCCACCTGCCTAGAGCAATAATTCTGTAAAAATTTAGACAATTCCTGAATGCACGGAGAACCCCAATCAATTCAGCGTAAATGGAAGCTCCAGTGCAGTGCTGTTCTCAGCAGGAAAAAAGTGTTCTTTCTTCAAGTCCAAAGGGTACTTTAGAGCATGGTGGATGAGGGAGGAGGGAAGGAAGAAGGGCGTTGCTTTGAAAGCACTCCAAATCCTCATACTCAGAGAACTCTATAGTCATCCTCTGCTTAATGAACTAGGTACTGCTCTTCCTCTATGTTCTTGCTTTCTGCTACCAGTGGGGGAACACTTTTTTGATATCCCATATTCAAAATAGGCTGATTAGGCAGCAGTGTAACGCTACCACTGGCTCTTCCCTTTCATTTGAAGTGGCACTGGAAATTAAACTTATCTCTGTGCCAAAATGTTAGTCATGGAATAAATTTCCAATAACACATGTCCACCTACTGCCAAAGATGGGCAATAAAGCTCAGAGATGCTGCAAGGACAGGCAATAAAGTCTGGAGATGCTGAACTGATCCTTATTTGGTCTTTGCCAGTTTGAAATGGAAAACAAAGTGACTGACTGCAGAAAATGACTTCATGTCAAGGCAGTGACATATCAATTTTGAGATGCTGTCTTCAAATAGATGCCATCTGCAACCATCTGATATGCCATCAAGAAACATGCCAGTTCCCTTTCCAGAATCTGCTACTTGAATGCCACAGATTAAGGAGGAAAAAAATAGCTTTGAATGCAAGTGAACATCTATTTCCCTCCTGCTATGTTAAAAGCCCAGGCAAGCTGTATGTCGTGTGTTGAAAGAAGAATTTCAGACAAACCTGTAAGTGAACTCATTGAACATTCAAGATTATACACAAATAAAATTACTGTGGTACTCGGGATAAAATATCCACCCAGATATCAGAAACTTCTGAAGAGATCTCTTATTCTTTCAAAGAAAGCCAGATTCAAAATACTCATTTAATTTTAGATGCTTATTCATGACAGATAGTCATTGTCATCAGATGACTTGTCTCTGGGAACCGAATTTGGGGTCTGAATCCAGAATGTAGGGGAGAACTGTTCAAAATCTGTAATAAAACTAGTAGTTACGGTAGCAGTCTGAGGCCAAATAGTGATCCTTGAACACAATTTCCACATCCTTTGGATACAGAGGCTTTGCTATATCAGTATTAATGTCAATAAATTGGTGGAGAGTGCAGAAAGCTTGCTCAATACCTTCATCATCAAGTTAATACAAGTCACCTTTTTTGAACAAAAATAAGCCCAAACACAATTATATCGCAAAACTATGCAATATTATTAGGTGTAGACAATAAGGTGATATACTATGCAAATCTGAATCAGTAATATTTGCATGAACAAAGTCACAATGGAGTACTTTTAGGTGAGTAAGATGGAGAAAACTGGCTGCTTCCAGATCTAAGCATAAAATTTCATGACACCAACACAGTCCTAGAACAACAAAGGCTTTCCTTTTGCCTCTCACTGGCTTATTAGTTTGAATCATTTTAGTTTTCCCCACAGCTTGAGAGAGCTTATGGAAACAGGCTAGTTCCCCTTCTTTAGTAAGGTTCACACCTCTGACAATCTTCTGGAAGCAGTTTTTGGCTTGCCTAACTCTATAATGTTAACTCTGTTCCTTTTTTTGTGAATTGATAGAGGTGTGAAACTAACCTTCTGTGTTTCACAGCTCCTGCCAACAGCTTTGCCTGAGAGAACTTGTTCTTGTTTTCCATTGACTTCATTGGCAATTTCTTCTCTGCTTCCTTCTTTGGGTCTGCGCTGACCCCCACTTTAGTGAGAGTGCTGTGAGTTAAGGGTTAAGGATCAGTTGGGAATTGAGAGATGAATAGAGCAGGCATTTCAGCATTACATACAATTTAGCCTGCTGATAGTGGCAGATTGCAGCTCATTTGTGGTGCCTTGTATTCCACATGAACAAGCTTATTTGAATGCATTTAGGAGGCACCTAGTAGTCATAAGAGAATGTGAAAACTACTTTAACTTGTTCCATTTAGAGTTGTCTGGTGCGCAGCCTGTTCCTGGAGGACTTGTGGGTAGAAAAAGACTACATTAGTACACTACACAGCAGAAACTGCTCTTTGGTTACTTTAAGAACAGGGTGGGCAAAATATGGCCCGCAGGCCGCATCCGGCCTGCCAGGCCATTCTGTCCAGCCTGTGGGACTCCTAAAAAATTTAGAAAATATTTATCTGCTCCTGGCTGCCTGTCAAAGACAACAGGAGCCAGGGGAAGTAGGATCCAGGGGTAGCCAGCAGCAGGAGACAGGAGCCCAGCCCGGTCCGCCCACAGCCATTTCCATGCTTCCTGCCCTGCTCCAGCACCACGTGGCTTCCAGCTGCATGGCAGGACCAGGGAGCATGAAGTCCTGCTAGTATGGGGGGGTGTGTGCATACAGGCGGGAGGCAAGGGGGGAAGAGAGAGAGTAGGCAGGGGCAGAGTGTACGTGTTCATAGGGTGAGTCCCACATACACACCCCACCATACACATATACCCACACCCTCCTTCGCACTGCCATACACGCAGACCCCCACACCCTCTTACATACCCCAGCCACTCCCCCACATATCCCCCCACAAACTCCATACCCACCCACATCACACACATCCACCCACATGCTCCTTCACCCCACACATCCAAGCCCCCACAATACACAAGCGTAAGACTTCATTTTAAGCTATTGTGCAATCACCACTGCGTATACTACACAAACACATGTAAACCAGGGCAAAAATATTTTTTGAAATCAAATTACTGA